ACACAGGAGGAAGAACAGGGGCTGGGATGCTGGTAGGCTGTGTGCAGTTAGGAAAACATTGTTTACTTCCCCTCAGGATTGGTTGTGACTCCAAATGGATGTTTGTGTTTAACTCTGTGTGTGTGTGTGTGCGTGCGTGCATGAGTGTGTGTGTGTGAGTGTGTGCGCTTGCGCTTGCGCGCGCGTGCGCGCATGCTCATGCTCATGTGTTTGAGCCGATGACTTGATTGGGAAGAGTTTGGTTTTACCCTGGACTTGAGTGGGATACCTAGAAAAGGACCAGACTTAGTGTCCCAAATCCCAAAGCCTAACTTCAGTCATTCTACGGATGGCGTGTGCCTGCCCCTGCCCCCTAAGACCAATGGCGGTATTGGATTTGACTCCCACGAAAGAATCCAATTGTGAAACTAACCGCCAAGGGTCAGAGGAGCTGCCTATTGCCTAACTGGGAAGTGGACGGGACCAGGTGGCTCACTGCGGAGCCAGACCCTCCCGCAGAAGATGGCCTGGGGTTTCCCTACGGTACAGAAAGACGTTGGTGCCGAAGCGGTGGGACTACAGGGCTGCTGGGAGGGGTCGCCTCTGAAGGCGAGCTTTGCTCGGCTTGGTTTTGTGGGGGAGAGTTAGGGTAGGGACCCTGCCCCAATTTGAGACTGTCGTGACCACGGCCCCAGAATGGAGGCGTTCGAGGAGAATTTTAAGGGCTTGTGGGAACACTCCAAGAAAACAAGACAGGAGTCCTGCGGGCCGCAGTTCCTTCAAAAACACGGCATTGTCCCTGGAACGTGCTTTCACATCCCTCCCAGGCGTAGTGGATAGGAATGAGTTTACGTCAGATTACTCATTACAACTGGGCCATTGCTATTTGTTTATATGACTCTACTGGAAAACACGGTTTTGCTACGTGCGCCTTGCCCGCTACATGCAGTTTGCTCGCTACGTGCAGCTTGTCCTTGTGATTGGACACGTGACTCCTCTTAACCCTCAGCGTATGAGCTGGCTGATGCTCTGAATCAAGTTGGCTATTGCATGAGACTTTTGTGAGCCTCCTTTTATGGGCTCCATTCTCCTAGGTCCCACCGCCTCTAGCACGGTGACATGGGACCGTCTTAGAGTCTGTTGTCCTGACCTGCCTCATGCAGTCCAAGTTGAAACCTTCCAGACTGCTTGATGAGGTGCCAGTAGGTCGTCTGTTATTTAGGTGAAGTTCTTTGCCAGCCTCAGATGGACCAGACATAAGCAGGGGCAAAGAAAGATGAAAGAACTGTGATCACTGTGTCACCTGGAGAGGCGCTTCCCAGGGCTTCTTGATGATTTCATTCCTTCGTGATCATGTCACACCCCCAGAACTAGGGCTGACACACAATAAATCCTTGCTGGAGGGAAGGCTCAACAACTCCTAAGTGTTAGCTTCCCTGCTGGAGTAAACATCCTGGAAACCCCCAGACTTTGAGCACACGCATGTGTGACCTTGAAAGTTGCCTGCCATTGATAAACACGATGGAAAAGCGTGAGTTTTGTCACGGCAGAAGAGACATTAGTTATAATGTGATCTGTTCATTTTGACTCAGACACACTCTACTTGCTCGTGAGCAGAAACCATTATCCTGGAAATACTTTTCAAAACTCATATTGTAATGCTTTTCAGTTTTTTTTTTTTTTAAATGTGTTTACATTGACTTTGCAAGTTCTCTTTGGGTTTGTGGAGGGCAGGACCGTTTCAGTATTCCCATTTTATAGCTGAGGATGTTGAGGCTGAATCCCCCCCCCACCCAAAACCCAAAGCTGAGACAGAAACGCCTCGAAATTTTGTTCCTTTCTACTACCCCCAAGCTGGGGGAGCTTGAGTCATCCAAGTGTGTAATTTTCCTTTGGTTCCACCAAATGAGAGGTGGCTCTCAACTCCATGCTCTGCATGGAAATGCTATTATAGGCCAGATGCAGACTCTGCATGGGTATGCAATTACCGGGACAAGGGTATAATTTGGGGAGTGCGGCCTGGGTGGGCTTTACTTATGATAAACTCTGCTATTATCAGACAAGATCATCATGAGTGTGAACCAAATGAAGGTGATTCTGGTCCCAAGTATTGTCGGGCCCAGCCAGGCTGCAGCTGTCCTCTCTTGGAGGTGCTCAGTGGGGTGTCTCCGGCCACTTCTGTGAATTCAGAGTAAGAAGCAAGTGACGCACACACAGAGGCAGTGACCTCCTTAACTCCATCACCTGGGTTCTGGGCGGTGTTTCCAGCCCTTGTGTGATGCCCAGGCTAAGCCTTCCCCTCTATTTGGAGTACCATCAATCAAATGCCAGCCCTGAGGGTCTGAGCTGAGGTTCAAAACAGAAAGGCCAGGTGCATTCTGGGGATGGATGGCTACTTCCCCTCTGGTGTTCACCAAGGCACGTTGGAGCCTTCTGGTTCAGTTTCCTCACCGGGAGACTTGGTGGGGTTGGTGAGAGCTGCTGCTGGCCAATATGCTCCTGAGTTAGGCTGGACGCTGGTGCACCATGAACGCCTGCTCTCTGCCCCACAGGGTCTGATCTGTTCTTCAAACCAGCACCAGCACGTGAGGTAGAGAGTCTTACTCATATTTAACAGAGGGACACGTATCCACATGAAGGGATTTAATGACCCGTGGGGGGAGGGGGTGGCCCTTGACGTTCCAAAGCAGCCTTCCATCACAGCTAGCCTGCGTTTGCTCCCAGATGCAACTAACCTCAGAAAAACAACTGAGAAGGTGGAATGAAGTGAGGCCCATGCCTTGAGTGTGACAAAGAAAAAAAAAACAAGGTTACTGTGCCATACTCTTGCTCACAATGTCAAGCATCCCTCTGTGGCTAAAATGCACGACTGTTACCCCTCCCATCTACAGCTTTAGCCTTGGACCTGGCTGTCCTACGATTCATGGAGACACTCGATCACAGAGTAGTTGGTGCTTGCTCACGGCATCCCATCTAAGCAGACTCTGTCAAGTGCCCCAGTCAATCCTGAAGCTTATCCGAAGCCCGTCTGATACTCTCTTGCTGAGAAACGCCTGGTGTGTTCTCCCTCGCAGCAATGAGCAAGGAACCCAAATTAATCAGATAGGTTCCTGGTGCACTCTGGGGAAGGCATTCACCTTTGTCCAAGGCCTCACAGTTGACCAATGGGTTCAAATCTCGTAATCATCTTTTTTCCAATCCCAGAGCCTGCACATTGGTACCTCCTGTCTCGGAGCGTGAAACATTGTCATCACTGTAAAGTGCTCCCCACCAAAGGGAAGGTTAAGGGTCTGATAGCCACTCCTGGTGGCCCCGATGGTGACAGTACTCTCTGAACCTCCCCTTTGCTCCAAAGGCATCTCAGCCAGAGGCTCTTCCTAGTTGCTGACCATTTACAAGAAGAGAAAATAAAATCAGACACCTCTCACTGTCCTGTGGCCATACTCTCTGGACAGGCCAGTGTCTTTGGTAGGTAATGCCCACAGCCTGTAAAGTGACTGTCTCGTCCATCTCTGTTTTTCTACCCTCTCAGTGCCTGGCATGTAAGGCTGCCACATGCTCCATTGGCGAAAACAGTTCCGATCTCTTTCCCAGCATCGTTCTGTGTTCTTGGTAATATCCCTAAACAGCATCCTTTAGCCCAGTAAGCTTGAGGTTAAAGGTGTGGTGATATATTGCTTGCATACCCTAATAAAATTTGCCTGAAGATCAGAGAACAGAGCAAGCCACTAGATTAAACACGGAGGCCAGGCAGTGGGTGGCACACACACCTTTAATCCTAGCACTCAGGAGGCAGAGATCTGTCTAGATCTCTGTGAGTTCAAAACCACCCTGGACTACATGAGATGGACTCAGTCTAGGAGAGAAAACAGGGCCAGGCAGTAGTGGCCCACACCTTTAATCCCAGTGCTGGGAAGCACACACGCCTTTAGCCCCAGGAAGTGATGGCTGGGCAGAGCAAGGTCTATAAGGCGTGAGGAGACAGGAACTAGAGGCTTTTCAGCAGAAGCATCCCTTTCAGCAAGAGGCTTTTTCGGATGGGGGTCTTTTCAGGCTGAGGAGTTGGCGAGGTGAGACGTGGCAGTGGCTTGTTCCTTTGTCTCTCTGATCTTTCAGCGATTACCCCAATATCTGGCTCCTTTTTAAATATATATATATATATATATTAAAAGACCGTTTATATTTCGTGTTACATAAAGGAGACTGCTAGCTGCTCTAACAGACACCCTGGGGCCAGCACCATGTCAGCTGATGGCTTTGGACATAGACTTTGACATCGCTCCCATCTCTAGGCATCCGGCACCAATGCCAGAGGCTCATTCTGCCTCTGCAGCTGCTAAGATAGCAACAATTACTATGGGCGCCTAGCATCAGTGCCACTTATGAAGGATTGTGCTGTGCCAAGGACATTTTTATACTTATTTAATCCTCACTTAAAAAATGCTCTAAAGGATGGGGGTGGAGCTTAATTGGTAGAGTTCTTGCCTCGCATGCACAAAACGTTGGCTTTGATCCCCGGCGTGGATAAAACTTGTAATCCTAGTTCTTGGGAAGTGGAGCAGGAGGACCAGAAGTCCAAGGTCACTCTTGGCTACATAGTGAGTTAGAGGCCAGCCTGGGCTGCAGGATACCAAGTCACCAACCAACCAACCAACCAACAAATACTACTACAAGGTAAATATTATTGTTATTCGTTTATAAATGAAGATCCCAGAATCTTGATACTCACCTGAGCTGATACAGTTTGTAGTTTACAAGCCCCAGAGTTAAAATTTGGATTCAGAGCTCTCTCCCACTGCATCTCTCTCTCCAGCTCTGGACCTTGGGCATCCTATCTGCACCGAATGCCTCTACACAGGTGTGGTTGTCTTAGAGCCTCTTTGGGAATCTTCCTATTATACCATCCTCTCTCACGGTCTGCTTTCTGGGGACCCCCACCTGCAACAAGGATATTTTTGCAAGATTAGCTTGGGGGAGGTGAGCTTTGAAGAGCTGTCCACTGGCTTCTGTACAAAATTGCAATGCCTGGAGAGGTTCATGTCCTCAGCAGGAGGGACAGGCAATCTTGTGTTCTTAGCCTCAGCCAGGACGGGCTGGAAGTACTTCTGTGGGTGCCTGAGGCAAAGCACTTCTGCCCCAATGTGCCAATCATCCTGGTGGCCAACAAGAAAGACCTGCGCAGCGATGAGCATGTCCGCACGGAGCTGGCCCGAATGAAGCAGGAGCCAGTGCGCACGGATGACGGCCGCGCCATGGCGGTGCGCATCCAAGCCTATGACTACCTCGAGTGCTCGGCCAAGACCAAGGAGGGTGTGCGCGAGGTCTTCGAGACGGCCACAGGCACAGTGCTGCAGAAGCGCTATGGCACTGTTGGGGACTTGGAGACAGACAGCTCCCTGCCGCTCACTGGCCACCCAGTCTAGCCAAATCGGTGAACTTCCCAGTGAGAGACTCTGTCTCAAAAAAACAAGGTGGATGGCTCTTGCCGGTGGATAATTAAGGCTGACCTCTGGCATTCCCATGAGCAGGCCTGCACGTTACAGGCCTGCCTGCCCATGCCCTCACACACAGAAGCACTGTCAACCAAAGTTATTGCGAAAAGAAACACGCTTTTGAAATTAGCTATTGCGAAAAGAAACGTAGCTTTAGAAATGAGCTACTTTCTTGCCAGCATTGGGCAGCCTGTGGCTGTGACCTCAGGGTGTTGAGGCCCCCCTGATCATCTTATGGGACCATGACTTGGCCTGTGACAACAGCTGGAGGCTTTGGTTCTTTCAAGCCACCATGCCACCTTCTCAAGAGCTAATTTTCTTACGATATTAGTCTGTATAATTTTCCGACTCTGATGTTCTTGGTCTCCTGGATGAATTTCAGTTGCTCTTTTGACACCCCCCCAGAAAGCTTTCTTCTGTGCCCTAGGTGATCCACCTGCTAGACCCCAGACTCCCGAGGCTTTCTGAGTCCTCTTGGCCTTCTTGCTGGTTTCTCTTGACTAGATCACAGTAGGCTCCCCTTTCAGGCTGGCTACAGCTTTGTTAGCCTTTGAACACTCGTCCCTGGACACTGCAGCCTCAAAGGGGTCTTCCGTTCTTCAGACCTGTGGCGAAGGTTCTGAAGAAACGAGGAAGGGTTAGGTGTTGTATCCTGAAGGTGTCCTGTTGGGTGCGGGGCCTGCTTGCCCTCCTGGTGTGATTTATGGAGTCCCGGCTAAGAACAAGAAGCTTCCTTCAATTCTTTATCAGGGTTCCTCCAAAAATACCAAACAACTTTTACCCAGCTACTTTAGGGGACAGAAGTAGCATTTTTCATGGGTGAGCATAAATTAAGCGAACTTCTTTTTTCTTTTTATAGAGAGCAATAAATCAAAAGGGAGGGAGGAAAAAAAGAGCCTTTTGTGACCCATCTTGGTTCCCTGGGAACAGCAATAACCTGGCCTTGATCCCAAAAAGGAGTAGGAAACTATTTTTCATACTGAGTTCAGCTCGGTTTTCAGGAAAAATGAATTATGGTCCACTTGCCTGTAAGTTCAAATCCGTGTGTGTGTGTGTGTGTGTGTGTGTGTGTGTGTTTGCTGGTGTGGCATGTATCCCCATGGGTGTCCACCTGTCTAACTGGCTCTTATACTTTTTAAGTCTAAAGCAGACTTGGGATGTCACCGCTGAAATCCTGAGGGAACACCAGACCAGGGAAGAGGCAGACCCTTGGGGGAATGGGACTTACAAGAGGACATGGGTGTCAGTACTCCAAGTCATTCGTGTGAAGAGTCACAGCGATGCCCAGGGGACTACCTACTTTCTCTGCCTCATGCTGCTAGGGGTGCAACTGTGTGTGTGTGTGTGTGTGTGTGTGTGTGTTTGTGTGTGTGTGTGTGT